GAGGGGGGGAAGGAGTGCCAGTGAAAAACTTGCTCGCGAGAAACCACCTCGCTTTTCTCCATTCTCTCTCTCTCTTTCTCTTTCTCTCTCTCTCTCTTTACATCTCTATCTCTCTCTCTATTTTCTCTTTGCGCACACAGACATCGACACGCACATTCAATTTGGCTCCCGAAAGGCTTCCCCCTCCCCTCCTGCTGTTCAGCGGCGGCTTCACCTTTTATTTTCGCCCTCGAAGCCGCCGTACACCGTAACTCTTCGCATTTTCGTTCCCAGTCCGCCGCTATCGCGTATCGAATGGAATTTCTCGTTGACGCCACCCGTGTTTCACCCGTTCGGAACCATTATCATCCGTTAATCCGTTCCGCTATACATCTCACGCCGTCTACACATCGAACGGAGTTACTCGGTTCGCGCGTCCGCGGCGAACCACCTAGGGAAAGAGCTGAACGTGGCCAGCTAGCGGGTCGGTCGGTATTCCTCGGTGTAGAATATAGAATGATCATTCGTGCGGACGGTACTCGACCGTTTGACAACTACGAACGCCTTCTTCGGACCGCCCACTTCCTCGTGTCCGCCGAGCAACGCAACCTGCGACTTCTCGAAGCCGGTCGAAATACTCGGTTTCTTTTTTTTTCTGTGCTTTTGCTTTTCTATTCCTTTTTATTTAGCCAGCCAGTCTTCCGTCCCTTTGTCTCCTTCGCCAAGAGTCACCCACGCTACTCTACCGTGTTCTCCCCTCGCGCGTAACCTTTTGTGAATCCGCCTCGCTCGAAACGCGTCGTCCCCCCTTCTCGCGTACGCTAACGCGATGCACCCTATCGCGACTATTGCCGACGAGAGAAACTCGCCGCGAATTCGCGCGATTCCGTGTTATCTATACTTCGGGAATCCTTTTGATAGTAATGATTCGTAGCCTCGACGCACCGGAATGATCGCGGTACGAGAAGCAGCGGGAATTTCGAGCGGAAAGGCTTCGAAAACGCTGAGGAAACGTTTTTCTGCATTCGCGAACGCGTCACCGATCTGTCGGAGCCGCCGTGGATACGCTCGCGTTGCTCGAGGACGCGTCGCTGCTCGAAAGACGGAGTGCTCGGTGCTCGAGACGCGTGGTTCGATTCCACGACGCCGCGGATCAGGATTATCGGATTTTCCGGCTGCCACGGCGCGCCGACATTCGCGAATCGATGCGACGCGTCCAGTCGTCTGTCGGGTTTAGTCGAGTTTGGGTCGGGACGGGACACACGGATACGCACGACGCCGATGGTCCCTTTCTCCCGCGACCGAAAGCGGTTGCGCTCGATACCTCGACCAGACAAAATAATCTCTTTTACCGAGAGTTCATCGGTACCCGTCAGCCAACGATTTATTCTTGGATTACGTTATGGAAGCCCGGTCCGCGAGTTTATGTAATAGCGTTCGCACACGGCCAGCGTGCTACCACCGGCAAACCGAAACACGACAGAACGAACCGGAACAAGGCAGAGAGAGGAGAGGCGAATCCAACGATCCCTCGGCGATCCATTATCACCCGTGTCCCCCAAGCCAGAACCGATCTCGACGCCTACCGACGAACGCGAGAGAGGAGGCAGACACGAAACGTTGATCGACGATGGCCAGAGGAAATTCGGGACTTCGAGGTGGCACGGCCACCTCCCCCCCAGCTGCGCGCGTGTACCGCTGACCCAGTTCATAGGGATGGTCTAGGACCTAATTTCTCGCGACTCCGACTAGCCCAGTTTCGACTCGCGGCGTCCGCCACGTCGGGCACGCTCCTCGCACCTGGGTTTTTTCGCGAGCGCGGCTCGCTTCCGCGATCTCCGCACCCGCGGCCAGCCACAGGTGGCTCGAACTTTAAAAGACAACGAGACGACGAGAGGCGACGCGCGCGCCTACGCCCCCGATTAGTTCGCGGGCAAACTTTTCCCCGTGCCGCGGAGGCCGACGCGCCCCAGCGATTCTTACGCTCGCGCTGGCTGCTATAATTAGTCGGCGATGTCCCGCAGGTGCCCATCCAATAAAAGCGTATTCGAAACACCTGTTCCTCCGATGCGGGGAATCGGTCACGGCAATCGGCCCCGACGCCAGCGCCCGCCGATCGTACGAATCGCTGGCACCGTGTCGCGAAACGATCGGCATATGGGTGCCGGCGTTCCCGATCGGCTCGGGAAACCATCGATCTTGTCGGCCGCGTTTTTTTCACGCGAGTTTGGTAACAGCTCCAGCCCACGTTCACCTTTCCCTCCATCTTCGAGGAGCGAATTCGACGGAGGACCCGTTTCTCAACGCTTGCGGACCGAGTTTCTCCTTGTTATGTATGTCTTTAATACCGTACACATCCGACCCGTTTGCGGCTTTTGTGTTGCACGCGGCGGTCGACCAAAGGCGGAAGTGTGTCGGTCCTCTCACTCTTCGCGTGTCGCGCCTTCGCCGGCGGGGTGTGCTGCACGGCGGCGGCGGCGACGGCGGCGGGGACTCCTAAGAAAATTACGCGCAACGGCGTGGTCGCGATTCGAAAATATCTCGTTCCAAAGAAGCAGCATCCTTTCCCGTTCACGGACCATGAAATCGCTGTTATCGGCAAGGCGGCGGTTATCCTCGGTACATTGATCGTTAAACGTTATAGGTTTCCGAAGCGCGCGAGCTACCTGGTCCCGCTATTACGCTCGAGGCCCGTGGAAACTGCTAAGTTTCCCAGTTTCGCCCATCCTTCCCGATGCTGTCGGCGATTGACACGCCGGCAGAACCGATAATGGCCGTGCATCGGAACGGTTTTCGATTAACCCCGAAAATTCGAGGGGATTTTCTTCTCACGCCGACTCGCCTTGTCCATGAGGCGGCCGGAGATAATGCTCGCCGGGATTAATAATCTCTCAATGCCGAGGAACAACTTTCGCCAACCTTGTTCCGTTCGGTCCAGCTGAGGTGGAAACGCGCGACTCGTTCGGTCAGCTCGACGAGATCGATCGATCGCGCAGTTTCGTTTTCCGCGATTTCGTTCGTACGGCTTCCAGTTCGGTGCGATCGTCTGAACGCCGGCACCGGGGGCAACGAACGTTCGCCGTTTTCACAATCGGAATGGAAGAAAGCGTCGCTTTTCCGACAGATTCGACGGATCTAACGCGCGAGCATGCCTCGATAGGAAGAGCGACGCTAATCGTAAGTAGGGAGAGAATCGCGATAGCGGTCGGACGAACGAGAGTCGAAGTTGCCCCGGCGATACGTTCGGAGGAATGGCGGGCTACAAGGTATGATTCACTCTCGCCTACCTGTGTAAGTTCGGCCGGCCCATTTCGACGGCCGAGCTAATGCAACGCTGGGTCCGTGTCCTCGTTCGCGACTGATCGTAAAATATTGTTTCGCGTCGCGCCTCGGGACCGACGTGTTTCGTGCGTGACGGTGCTCCATTGTAATCGTTCTCGAGCCGATTCGGAATGAAACCGGTGATCGGTGACCGCCGTGGCAGTCGACGCGTTAAACGGTGCCTCC